AATAAATATCTTTCAGCTGTAAAAATATGCAGATTGATGTCTTTAAAAATTATGTAATATTTATAATTTTTAATGAAAATTTAATAATATATAAAATTATAAAAAATGTTATAAAAATTAATTCCTAAATCAATTTCCTATTTTTAATTATAAACTTTGCGAAATTTCTGGAAAGATGCATGGAGTATGCCATACGCATGAATGCATCTCTCATCATCATCATCCAAAGGAGCAGCAAGATGGCACATATTCAGAATATTCTTGTTTATATTTTCCTGGTCATCTCAGAATATTCTTGTTACTTATTCTTTGGATGAAATAATATTCTTGTCACTAGTATTAATTTTCATGAGTTTTTCTAGGATTTTTAATGTTTGTTTGGAAATAGGTGCACCAAGACTCAACAGAATGTCAAAAGTGAACGTGAATTGGGTGGTTGAAATGCACATGAAAGTGGATTGTTTTGCTTTAATTATCTCTACTTAATCCTTTTGATTAATTCTATAGTTTCTAGTTTCCACATGTAATGCCATCAAAACACTAATTTGGTATTTAATTATTTAAAATTTATTGATAGAGAAATGATCTCCTAGTATCAAAAGCATACTTCTCTATTAATAGTTTAAAATAAAGGATTTGTCTATTATGTAATTGAAGATATATTAAATAAATTTTTTTCGTAAATTTATATTAAAAAATAAAAATTAATATTTAATTTATCAATTATATAACTAAATTTATCTGACACTAAAATTAATATCAATTTTTATATATTTTTATATATACTTATAATAAAAATGTGTAATCAATACACTCTTAAGGCATAAAATAGAAAAACCCTTATAATTTACATAAGATGTAATGTAAAACAACAGCATTTTTTTTGTTAAAATTCATAATTCTTCTCTTTTTCGCTTTTATGAGATTTCAAATCAAATTTTCAAATCAATTATTTAATAAATTCAATAGTTAAATTCAATAATAAATAAATGTCATTTTATAAATTATATTTGAACTTAAGTTTTGATACATATATTTAAAAAAATTAATTTCTTTAAATATATATTAAATTGACAGTAAAAAATGTGACATTAAGATTATTTAGAAAGAGTTTAGGTTCAAAATGTGTAAAAATTAATAAAAAAAAAAAGCATCTTAACAATAGATAAAAAAAAAATCAATTTACTAAACAAACCTTGAAGAAATTACAAGAAAATACAAATGTCGATCATGTTATTGAAGAAGTCTTTACGAGTTTGGCCATTACTTATTCAGACAAATTAACATGGTAGCTCTTATGTAGAATCAAATCAAGAAAAACCATGATTTGTTTGAGACGTCAAAATCCAGAGGAGATTTAAAGAATTCGAGATTAAAAAAAAAAAGAAAAAAAAGGAAAGAAATAAGCCGTTGTTTGGTTTACATCTGTGCATTCTGAAAGTAGATTGCAGACATTTTGCTACCAACATTAACATGGGTAGTCTGCAAACAAGTCTCTTTAAAATAATACTGTTATCATCATCTTTTATAACCTAACGTCCATGTGCAAAAGGAAAAGATGGAATGCAAAAGAAAATAGGCCAAAAGTCTCGTGGATTGTGGAATTGTCAAGAACACACGCAAATGCTTACTTGCCCTAAATAACTAGGTTTATACTCCCAAAACAAGAATGAAAATATATATACTCTGTAACAAATAACGTGGCGGTTCCACCTTATAACAAAATAGGAGCATATACTTTTATATAAGATGTTCTTTTTATTATTTATTATATTTTTATTTTATTTTGGATTGAATAAATTGAATAATACCATAAAAAGATTGAATGGAGTAATAATAGTAGAGGCCCCCTAAAAAGAGTGTTTATGGCCATTCAATACTTTATTAAAATAAAAATATTATAATTATAATATTATATAATATTATAAATTTATAATATATTTAATGTTGTAATCTTAATAATATTAATGAGTACACATAACTAAAAATAATAATAATATTTTTTTTATCTTAATTGTACAATGAGAGGTAATTATCTTTCATTTTTCATTCCACCTCAATCGCATATCATGCAACTTGAACTCAAAATGTATTTTGACATTTTCTCGAGACCAGGTTGATACGGGCAAGAGGAGGTCCGGCCCATGAAAGAATGATTTTTTGGCCCACAGATTGTGGTAGCTTAAAGCCCGATCCAGTTCAGTACTGGCGCCAAGTGGTACACGTGCGAATAACGGTCAGTGCGTGCGACAGGTGACTGGTTTGTCCAACCAAAGAATGAATCAGATACCACCAAGATCTCATAAGTCCCTGAGTTTTGTGTCACGAGCCACCTTAGGTCCCTAATTTTGAGATATTTTCTTCTAAAGGACAATAAATTCAATTCATTTTTGAGGCAAGTTTACTTGTGCAAGCAATATTCTATTTTGTGTCGTTGAGGTTTTGGAATGATGCTTGTGTGAATCACATCCCAAACTTCATCAAATCAACAAAGAGAGAAAAAATAAAAAAAATATATGTACAAAAAAAAAAAGATTTTTGTATGAAAAAGTCTACTACAAACAGTGACATTTCTAATGTAATATGATATATTAATCAAATATTATCACACAAAAGAAATTATAATAACTATAATTATAATGATAATAATTAAATGAGTTTCATGTTTGTTATTTATATTTTGTGAAATATTGTATCCATCTCAACCTTTGATGACTTATCAGATTTGCCTTAGCTTGTTTTATATTTTTGACATCACATTGTGGTTGCAAGTAATATATTTTAATTTTTTTATTAAAATATCTATATAATAAAATTTTGTAGAAGTAAACTACTAGCTGCACTTGAAAGTATATGTTCTCTTAATAGATAATAAAAAAGGAAAGAACACACTTGGGCCAATCAAGGTGAGAGTTCACAACTTTACATATAACCATCGAAAATTTTGCAAAGTTAATAAACTTTTTTAAATTAGAAAAATCAAATTCTAGCAACTCTTTCAAGTGCAACTAAAAAGACATAAGAGTACTTCATGTCTTTTTTTTTTGGATTAAAAAATAATTAATAGATAATATTTGATGGTTGATTTATTATTATTTATAATTCAAATACTTTTATTCTTTTAATTAAAGATCAACAATTAAGAATTAATGAAAATCATATTTCTACTAAGTTGATTTTTTGGAAATTAAGTAAAAAACATACCTTCTTATGAAGGTATTTAAAGGTTAATATGCCAAAACGCATGGATTATTCATTAGTCTTAGTTTTCCATTTTTTTTGTCGTTTGCATTGACAATTCCTTCAAAATAGCCGAGGAAAACAATAAATATAGCAAAAGAAAGGGACCAATTTTGCAAAAATAAGAGAACCGAAGAGGAAGCGAAAAGGGAATGCGAATGGAACAAGAAACGAAAAACCAAAGAAAAGAACAGATTACTTTCTTGTTTGGAGTTAAGAGCTAAGAAAGATCGATATGATTTCATTAATATCTCACGTTACTATCTTGCTTAAGCAATCACTAAACCAAATAACACAGCCATTCGTATTTTCCGACCACATATCCGAGGTTCTCATCTCTTTAATCCTCTGGTGTTCGTTATTTAGGTATATGTTCGACGAAATGCCTCAAAGAAAAAGCTTCTTATCTTGGACCGCTATGAAATGAAAATCCCTGAAGATCCACTTACATTGTGTTTTCTGGGTTCTTTGCATATTCATCTGGGTCTATCTTAAATCTTGAAAGAAAATGTCTTTCTTCCTTGGTTGGATCGCTGGACTCTCCATCGGTATTGGATTGATCGTTGCGTTTGCTCGTTATGAGAAAATCCGATCTTCTCGTCGTTACAATCTGGTTTTTCCTCATCTTAATCCATCTTTGATCCATTTTCATCTGGGTTTTTCCTTACAATGTGATCAGCATTGTTATCGAATTGGTTTTGATTATTTCTGTTTTTGTTAGGCGATGACGGTGGCGGCATTTGCAAAATTGACTCTGCAAGATACTGAAAAGCTTATTCCGCCCGGGCACTATCGGTATCCTTCTTGGGCTGTCTTTTCTCAGTTACAGAAGTTGAGTTAGCCATCATGGATTTCATTATGCAGCTCTCTCTGTCTCATTATTACGATTTAGTCTCTGATTCTGGTTTCCTTTTTCATTTCAGTTAAACTGGCTCAATCAAGAACTTGCCAAGATTTGGCCATATGTTAATGAGGTAATCCACCTTTTTCTGTAGGACTGGTGGGTTATTTGGTATCTTTGTTAAAAACTCTTCAATTTCATTTTTGGTGTGGTTATTTGATTACATAGGCTGCATCAGAGCTGATAAGGAGTAATGTTGAGCCAATTCTTGAACAATATACACCAGCTGTATTGGAATCTCTGAAGTTTTCAACATTGACACTTGGAGCGGTAGCTCCACAATTTAAAGGTTTGATTTGTGATTTACAACATAAATTTTTATTGGGTAACAAATTGGTGTGATTTTTATCATATGACACCATGCTAGTTCTAGTTATTTGATGGAATTTGGCAATGTTATGGGGTGTTGTTATCAACTTATCTTCAGGAGTTAGCATCATTGATGATGGAAGTGGAGCTGAGGGGATCACCATGGAGTTGGAGCTGCAGTGGGAGGGTCGGCCAAAAATTGTGCTCGACATTAACACCAGAATTGGTGTTTCACTACCTGTGGAGGTAATCTAACACGTAGCTCATTTTCATTATTAAAAGTAGTGCTTGCTTGCTATGCACAATGATGAACAATGTAGAAATCTGATATGCTTAGAACAAGGCCAAAGTAATCTCTGAACAAAGAGTTAAAACATAACCAGAGTTCTTGAGTAATTCCCCTGACCTTCTAGTTCGGGTCTTTTTCCAAAAATTGAAAATTTTCACATCACCCAGCAGCACCCTTTGCATTGCATTTTTGGCTACAGGATTTAACACTTGTGATCTCCTGAAACTTCCAAGGATAATGAAAATTTTCTTAACCGCCCCCAACATCTGTTGATTTAGCATCAGTTCCTTTCCTCATGAAGTCATGATAGACCTAGCCTTCTCCATACCTATGCAATGCAACAACTAAACCTTATTCTTCTGTATTAAACCGACATTTTCTGCTGTTTCACTTGTTTGTGCAAGTGGGTGTGTGTGTGGAAAAGCTAGGGGTTTTATAGGCTTGCCAAAGCTCATTCAACATAGGGCCTTCTCCATTTCTAGCAACGACACATTTTGATGTTTTTCGTTATCCCTCTGGCATCATTATTCCTTATGGTATCCTGATTTTAACTTGTTCATCTAGGTAAAAGATATCAAATTCACTGGGGTTTTCAGGTTAATCTTCAAACCACTAGTTCATGCCTTTCCTTGTTTTGGAGCTGTCGCTTATTCCCTGAGACAAAAGGTGAGTAATGGTCCCTGATATTTATCCCTCTTGAGGCGTTTTCCCCAACACTAGAAAACGAAGATCAAATAGGTCATTGTCAATTTCCCAGATGTTCCCCATTCACATCAATGCAAGAAGAGATAATTAGTTATGCCAGTTCAAAAATGCATACTCATAATAAAAAGCATATTAACAAATTAAATACAAATAATACCCTGGATCTATATATGAATACACCCCATGGTTTGATTTTAACACCACTATTGTGTGTATGTTTCTCCCTGCAGAAAAACCTTCATTTTACACTTAAGGTTATTGGAGGTGAAATATCAGCAATTCCAGGGATCTCTAATGCCATAGAGGTCTGATGAATCCTTTTGCCTCCTCTTTAACTTTTATAATCTTTAATGAACAAATAAAATATTGTGATTTGGTTTTTGCTCTTGGCGGTACCATTAAGTTTACAATACTAAACCACAGTGCTCCTACTTCTGAAAATTTTAAATTGTTGATGCAGCATTGTCTGGCAAAGGTATTACGATATTACAACAACATTTGTTAGAGCAATACAAAACATGTTTTGATGAATCATTAATTCTAACTTTGAATTATGTCACAGTTAATTCCTTATCAGTTATTCAGCTATTAAAATTTTAAATTATGAATGCGATGTACTTCTCAAATAATGGTCTAACAAATTTTGACAGGAAACCATCAAAGATGCAATTGAAGATTCTATAACATGGCCAGTTCGGAAAATTGTGTCCATATTACCTGGGGATTACAGGTATGCTAATTTTAATAGGCTCCTTCTATATTGAATTTAATGTTGATTTAATCTTTAGATGAATGGTATTCAATCATTCATTCTCATACCAAGCAAAACATTTCTGGGTAAAAGATACAAGTATTTTGCTATGTCAGAGACCAGTAATAGGAAGCTATGCACCTGGATTGACTGAATGTTTTGTGATTAACCTTCTTTTTTCTTTTTTCTTTTTTCTTTTTTCTTTTCTTCCCTACCCTGTTGGTAATGGAGTTCTGTGATTTTACCATGTCCTAGTGACCTGGTGGAGCTGAAACCTGTAGGAACATTAGAAGTGAAGCTTGTGCAAGCCAAGGACCTAACGAATAAAGACCTGGTTGGGAAATCTGATCCTTTTGCCAGGATATTTATCCGCCCGTTACGTGACAGAATAAAAAGAAGCAAAACCATTGTACGATGATTACTTTTTCCGTTCTACAAATATTTCCTTTTCTATGATTGAAGATTAACACTTTAGCATAACTTCATTCTTCAGAATAACCAGTTGAATCCCATATGGAATGAGCACTTTGAGTTTATTGTAGAAGATATATCAACTCAATACTTGAACATAAGGGTGTATGATGATGAAGGGGTTCAGGCCTCTGAGTTCATTGGTTGTGCTCGGCTGGCGCTGAAGGACCTTGAACCTGGCAAAGTCAAGGATGTCTGGTTGAAACTGATAAAGGATTTGGAGGTCCAGAGAGATACTAAAAATCGGGGTCAGGTGAGAATGCCATTATGGAGAGCTAGTGTTGCTTTGCCTCCTAAATGAAATCTCACAAAAAAGTTTATAACCCCTCCATTTGGCATGACAATTAACATGGTCCATAATCTCCATCGTCTAAATCTTGAATAACTAATGCATTCTAATTGTTCTTGACAATAGGTGCACCTTGAGCTCCTCTACATTCCTTTCAGCGCAGAAAGCAGCGTCATAAACCCATTTAATCGCGATTTTGGACTGACCTCGTTGGAAAAGGTACTTAAGAGTGGAAAAGATGGAGCAGCAGAAGCTTCTAAGCTTGCAAGAACAACGACAGAGAGGAAAAAGGATGTCATTGTAAGAGGAGTACTATCTGTGACAGTAATAGCAGCAGAAAACCTGCCAGCAGTAGATTTTATGGGGAAGTCAGACCCTTACGTTGTCCTTCTCATGAAGAAATCTGGTACAAAAGTCAAGACAAGGGTGAGATTCAATTTTCCCATTACTATAATCACACTTCTTTTTTAATCAAATGACTATTTTGACACATATAGGAGGTCCTAGACCTCTCCATGAGCCAAACAGCCACGCCTTCGTTCTGCAGCACCATAATCTTTGCCGCCCATGACAACTTCACTTAGGACATCTCTACAATCATGGGTTTTCTCTATGTTCTCAGGTTGTTAACAACACCTTAAATCCGGAATGGAATCAGACATTTGACATTCTTGTGGAGGATGCATTACATGACATGTTGATTTTGGAAGTTTGGGACCATGACCCTTTCAAGAAGGTATCTCAGCTTCCCTTTAGACACAAACATCTGCAAATTGAACTAAGCTATTTTAAGTTTCAACTATATTTTTTGAAGCAGCCTATGATTATGCTGATTACGGTGGCCTTTATGATCATCCAGGACAAAATTGGGAGATGTATTATGACCCTAACTAGGGTCTTATTGGAAGGGGAAATTGAGGACCATTTTTCATTGGATGGTACTGAGTCAGGAAAGATACATCTCCGTCTCAAGTGGAGTCCGCAACTAGTATTTCGTGATACTTGATGATGAAAGAAGAGATCAGATACCTTCCTTGAAAAGGTGCTGGAAAAATATTAATACCAGATTGCCAACATGTGAAGAAATTTGAACTCAAAAGATTTCAGGCTGGTTATTCCTTCTCTGTACATTATTACTTATTCTTTTTATTGTTAAAAGTTCCGGTTAAATTATTAGAAAGCAAACATGGAGCTCAAAATTTTCAACGTGAGATTGGGAGTGGCAGACATTATAATTCATTTATTGTACATAAAGAATGAGGGAAATTGAGCAATAAGAAAAAAAAAAATTCCAGAGTTTTCTGTTTTTGTAAAAAGCCCCCCAAACAGATTCCTCCATTTTCTGTTCCAAAAAGGAAAAACAATTTCTAGTCAGCAAAACGGATTTTTTTTTTCTCATATGAAATTCTTGCCTCCAACTAATGCAGTTTTGTTTTCAAAAAATGGAGAAATGTTTGCCAAGGAACTACAAAACATGAATTAGGAAAACAATTTCCTAGTACTCGCAATCCATTTAATTGTTTAAATTATGATTTTTTTTTATCTTGATTGCATAATAAAAAATAACCATCTCTTATCACTTATCTAATTCCACCCGTATACCATACAATTCGAATTCATAATCTCTTATTTTTAGTGAAAAAAAATGATAACTAAATTATTTAGATAATTGATTTTAAATAGTCAATTTTGGTGTAGTGTGAATTGTAAAAATATATATTTTAAAAGAATATCCTATCTTTTTTAATGAAATAAAAAAAAAAAAGAAATCCTTTCTTTTTCTTTTACATTTTAATATTTAAATATACCTAACAAAATTAGATTGACGAAATTACCTGAATCTATTTGAATTAATTAAGTTAAATTCAGAGTAAACTTGAATCAACTTGAAATAATCT